TTAAGGCTCGAGCTGGAGGCCTTAACGAGCCGAGCTCATTTAAAGCTCGTTTGGCTAACGAGCAGAGCTCGGCTCGACTCGTAAATAGTTTTTCATATAATATTTTTATTCTGCTCGTTAAAGCTCAAGCCTTAACTACCGAACTCGAGCAGTTGAGCTCGTTTACAGCCCTCTGCACCACTAAATTGATTTACACAAATCGATTTACCGAAAATACACAAATACAGATTATTTTTGTTGGCTTGCACAAATTGAAACTAACAATGGGGGACAACCAAATAATAATAATAATAATAATAATAATAATAATAATAATAATAATAATAATAATAATAATTGAAACGTGTAATTCTCACGGAGTGCGCTTAATGGTGGTACAAACTGAAATAAGAACCGAATGATGCGGAAGTAATAAACCGAAGTTTTTTAAAAACTCTTCAGGGAAGCGTCACACTTCCCCTCAGAGCTCTTTCATTGATAGATCAAATATACACATAGCTTGGACTTACAACAACTCGAACTCCCTTCAAGCCTAGCCAACTCTATATAGATCCTATCAACTAATTCTCCGGCCACGTCCCGTGGACTTTAATAACTTACACTTACTCCCTAAGTGTATAAGCTGTAAAATGGTTTTTAGATGAAACACAAAGAACAAAATAAAACAGCTTCAGTCCTTGAGTTAGTTCGAACTCTCAGACTGAACTGTGTACAACTCAAAACAAAACAGAAAACACGAAGCTCAATTATTGCTCTGTAAATCTTCAAAACTCAGCAGCAGCAATGAGAGCTTGCATACGGGTATTTAAAGTAAACTTCTTAGGGTTGGAGTCTTCTACAAGGCATAGGACTCCAACCTTGATTTTCTTCCTTGATTATAGCATGAGAATTTGGTAAGTAAATCTTCTTCTCTCTCTCTCCTTGATCTCTTTATCATGCATGCCTCTCCCTTCTTTATCTTATCCGATTTCCTACAAAACAAAGTACCATAATAAGATCCATAATATCTTATTTATGGAATATAAAATAATTGTAATTAAGGAAACAAATAAGCAAAGATCTTCCCTGTTTCTGTAGTTCCAAGTGCTTGTTCGAACCTTCGAACTAATGCCAAAATAAAATATATCTTTCAATCTCCCCCTTTGGCATCTAGTTCGAAAATAGTAGACCTTAAGGTCCCCTGAAATGAAAACAACAAGCACCAAGAGACTAATCACAGTAATAAGTTAGATCACACAAAAATATTATATGGGCAGTTCTCCCCCTCAGTACCTGCAATCTGTGCATGAAAGTATAACAAAAACGACATCAATTAAAGAGACCAAGTTCACCAAAATGATCATCCATAAAAAAACAAAGTACTTAAGCCATTAACAAAAGTAAATAGTAGCAACCCAATCACAGCATCAAAAGCAAATAAGTACGAGGTTCTTTATTACATAAAGACCTCCCTACATCCCTCAAAACACACAAAAGAAGAAGCACTACTCATCATCATCATGGTAATTCGCAATGGCATCATTGGTGCTATCTCCATCAGAGTCAGATCCTCCATCATCCTTCACAGCGGCTTTTCCTTTCTCCCCCTTTTTCGAACTACGGGATGCCGAAGGGCCTGTCCCCGCAGTCTTTCGATTGGTCCCCTTAACCGCCTGCAACACTTGCTTGAGGTAGGCCTGCTGAGCAGCAACCCGTTTAGCGATCGTGTCCCATTCACCAAGCTGTTGAGCCACAAATTCTCCCCAGTTCTTAGGAACCAAGGAGGGAGCCAGTTCCCGTGTGACCTTGGAAGTCCCCTTTTCATTGAGAGTACGAGCACTCACGGTGAAAGCTTTGCCAGGGTTCTCAAGAGAGTCTTGGTAACGAGGATTGACAGCAAAGTTGT